CAAGCTGAGTCGCTGGCCACGTGGCATAGCATCAACTAATACGTGCACTGAAATGAATCCGTGTAGGTGGCGGGGAAACCACATCGGCCAATAACGACTGCTAAAACCACGACCAGGGCTGTCGTTTGGTTTTAAGGTACCCGGACAAATCAGGGGGCCCGTCATGTACGACCCTGAATCTCGCAGGTCCAGGGCCAATTTCAGCCCTTTAGGCTTCAGGGTTAGGGTACAAATAACCGTAGCCTCGTTTCCACTACACAGATGACAACTACACCTACAAACACAACACTACATTTAAACTTTGTTTAGGATTACTAGACACGCTTAGCGGGCTTTCTAACCCTGGCAACATAAAAGACCTTGTGCACATCTACCCATTCTACAAGATACACTAGCATTTTCACAGTCATAGGCTGATCGAGCTTAACATCACTAGGAGCAGTCCTGAGTTTCGGGTTCTATTATGTACTGCCTAGTGAATTGCCTGAAGATTTTAACACCATTCATATGCCGTGGTAAGGTACACAAGCACTGATTGGCACAAGCAGAACATATGAGTTGAGTTGAGTTGGAGTTTTGGCCCAACCGTGTCAAAGTTATTTTATGTAACTGCTTGTGGTTTAGGTGTAGTGTATTTATCTTGTCTTCTGTTTGGTGGTGCACCTCTAGTTTCTTGACTATATGTTGTATCTCTTTGCTATTATTGAACCCTTCTTGTTTGGCCAAACCCTCTCGACCTTCCTCTCGCTATCACTCTCGCTATCTCCATGGCTCCTAAGTTCCTAACTCGTTAGCTGTATTTCTGACATGTTATCAGAGTGAGGTTCCACCTAGGACCTCCTTTCATGGGCCCACCAACTCCGCCGTCATACATGGCGGTTTTTTCTGCTGCTGGCGCGGAATTGCCGGGTGGCGCGTTTTCTGCTGCTTTTGCTGAACCCGTCGCGCTGCCCTGCTCGCCGCGCCCTGTCCTGCCCTGCACCGTTTCGTCGCCTCGCGGCCCCCCCTCCCCCGTCGCTCCGCGCCGTTTCGTCGCCCCGCGGCCTCGTCGCCCGCATCCTCGTCGCGAGCGGAACCGTCGCGAGCGGCCATGTCGCCCGCGGCCCCGTCGCCCGCTTCCCGTCACCCCCCTCCCCCCCTCGTTACGCGCAACAGCAGCCGCGCGCACTGCAGCTGCGCGCGTTCGCAGCCGTGCGCAACTGCGCGCGTGGCGACTGCAGGGCGCACAGCTGCACGAGCAGCTGCACACGAATCTGCAGCCCTCGTGCGCCTCTGCCACGCTGCCCTGCGCGCTGTTACCCCGCCCCCCTTCTTCTCCCTTTCCTTGCTGCACGTGCAGCAGAAGGGGGGGGTGGGAGGAGAGGGTGTTGGGGGTCGGGGGAGTGGCGGTAGGGTTGCCTGCGCTTGTGGGGTGAAGGGTGATGGGGGTGGCGGATAATGGAGGGTGAGGGGGTGGCAGGAGGGGTTTCTGCAGCGCCAGCCGCCCACCACCTCCTCCTCTCTCTCCGTGCCGCACCTGTTGTTGTGTTGGCAAGGGGGGGGGGGGAGCTTGGAGGTTAACGGGGTGGTAGAGGGGATCTGCAGCAGCAGCCGCGTCCTCCCCCTTCTCTCCTCTCCGTTTTCCACCCACCACTGTCTCGAGCTGCCCCCTTCCTGAGCCGCCCCTGCTGTGGGGATGAGGTGTTGCTGGGGGGAAGGGGGAAGGTTGGAAGGGGATGGCCGCCGTGAAGTCAGTTGCTCCAGTAGCCAGTGGGCCGATTGCTCCAGTCGCCAGTGGGCATGTTTCTCCAGTAGCCAGTGAGCCGGTTGCTCCAGTCGCCAGTGAGCATGTTGCTCCAGTAGCCAGTGAGCCGGTTGCTCCAGTCGCCAGTGAGCATGTTGCTCCAGTAGCCAGTGAGCCGGTTGCTTCTGTCGCCAGTGGGCCAGTAGCTTCAGCCGCAGCCTACCACCTCCTCTCCTCTCTCTCCCTCTCTCTCTCCTCCTCCTTGCCTGCCCTCTCCCGTTCTGCTGCGCACTCTGCCTGATGTACCCCTTCAGGGGGCGATAACTACACTTCTTCCCACAAGCAATTATGGGGGCGTGTCAAAGTTATTTTATGTAACTGCTTGTGGTTTAGGTGTAGTGTATTTATCTTATCTTCTGTTTGGTGGTGCACCTCTAGTTTCTTGACTATATGTTGTATCTCTTTGCTATTATTGAACCCTTCTTGTTTGGCCAAACCCTCTCGACCTCCCTCTCGACCTTCCTCTCGCTATCACTCTCGCTATCTCCATGGCTCCTAAGTTCCTAACTCGTTAGCTGTATTTCTGACAAACCGCGAACTCCAAATTTGTCTGGTTGGATGCAACCAGAATAGGAAATAGCGGGTGATAGGCCGGGTGGTTAGGGAACAACGGGGGAACGGGGGAGAGGTGAGGTTAGGTGGGATGGGAGTGAGGGGGAAGGGGGTTCGATAGTTTCTGTTCCAGGGCTAGCCAAAATTCTACCCTTTAAACACCAGGAACGATCCCAAAATCAGCCCTGTAATGAATCAGGGCCAGACATTTTGCAACCCATCAATTTCAGGTTTCAAGGAAAACTTAGCCCTGGAATTCAAGGGCCAGCAGGGCAAACGCCCTGCAAGCGACAGCCCTGACCACGACCAATGCATTGAGAATTCATTACACCTGGTACCCGTCAATTTCACGTCGTGAAACCGACCACAGAAAACAACCCTAACCCTAGTTTTGCTTTATCAGTGAATCGCCAAAAAGATAGGGCCTATGGATGATTAGATCATCTGTCCAAGTCTTAGGAACTCGCGCTTTGAGATCCCATCGCATTGACCAGGATCTTTCAGTGCTAACCGCTTTGAGTTCTCTTTCACTCATATAAGGAGTCTGAAACAATGCCCTTATTTAAAGAATAAGCGTTCAAAACAACATTCGATACAATGTAAATCAACAAGTTTTAAACATGGGGTGCGAAATTGGTGGTAGTGAAATTATCGAGGACCATATGTACAGGAAAAATAACTGAAAAGGTTTGCTTAGAGGTTTTTTTTTTTGTTTTTCGGGATTAGGGCGCGTGTCTTTTGAATTTTGGGCCAAAGTTCATGTTTTTTAGTCGAGTTTTTACGTTTGATCCTAGGTCGACATGTACTCGAGTATCTCAACTTTTGGGCCCGAATCGCCAATCCATCTCACAAAAAGCACATGGCACACCAAAGTTCGAGTATTGAAGTTAACTTTATACACTCACAATCGAGTCGCGTTCAACTTTCGTAGGTTACTCGGTTCTCACGCCTTGACTGCGCGCCACGTATGATTTGTGCGACGCGCTGACACGGGGGCTACAAATAGCCCTCGTGGCCAATCTTCAATTCAACTCATTCTCGCCACCATGACCAACATTCAGCTTCTCTGTTTTCTCGCGCTCGTCCGGCAGGGGTACCTGCGCTGTCAGTAGAGCTGCACTGTGAGATCCCCGATCGATCCTAGGGGGGGTTACAGGCGCGTTTGCCTGGGGGGTTATGGGCGCACTGACCCGCTACTGAAACAAGCCCTTTTATCCCAGTGGTCTAGTGGTTGGGATTCTGACATGGTATCAGAGGGGTCTCGGGTTCGAATCCCGGTGTATGCACATGTAGGCCGTTGCCACTGTGCTCAGTCCTGGGCCTCCCAGTGTGGGGGGGTGTCAGTAGAGCTGCACTGTGAGATCCCCGATCGATCCTAGGGGGGGTTACAGGCGCGTTTGCCTGGGGGGTTATGGGCGCACTGACCCGCTACTGAAACAAGCCCTTTCATCCCAGTGGTCTAGTGGTTGGGATTCTGACATGCGCCTGTTCCTGCTGCCAGTATCAATCGCCATAGGTACTGCACTGCCAGCACTCGTCGCAGAGGTTTCTCTCCGCCAGACACGTGTGTTCGTCAGGGGCGACCGGCTTGACTCTCGCATGCGTTGGTTTCGTCTCATCAGCTTCCTACCCGACGTGTGTTTTACGAGTACATGCGCGTTGAATATGCGCACTTTCACGTACCTGGTGAGGCAATACCAGCGCAGCAGGTTTGCAACGTGGCAGAACAAGGTGTACAATTTTGTGCATATCGCGATGGCACTTAGCAAGCTGGGGCACGGTTTGTCCTTTCGCCAAATCGGTATTCATTTTGTTCGGGCGTTTCCTGAAGTTCATGGAGACGGTTTTGACACCTCTGTGGGTTGGGTGGTTTGACCGAGAAATGTTTGAGGTGATGGAGAGGGAATTTCGTACGTTCGCTGGCATCCCTGGCGTGGTGGGTGCTATGGATGGCACATACATACGCTGTCGTGGGTTTGGGCCCCACCGGGAAGACTTTCGAAACAGGAAGGGATGTTTTTCAATCATTTTGCAACTAATATGTGACAGCACCGACCTTATTTGGGACTTTTTTGTTGGCTGGCCTGGGAGCGTCAATGACGCTCGAGTCTTCCAGAACAGCGCAGCAAGAACTAGAATTGAAGAGGGGGGTCTACTGGACTACGTTATTGTTTCCGACGCGGCGTACGGCCTGCGTCAGTATCTCTACACACCCTATCGTGCTACTACTGGCCGCCACCTGCCTGGCGAGCAGCGGGTCTAGAACCTGCTGTCAGAGGTCCACTGGAGATCCCCGATTGATCCTAGGGAAGGGTTACAGGCATGTTGGCCTGGGGGGTTATGGGCACACTGACCCGCTACTTAACAAGCCCTTTTATCCCAATGGTCTAGTGGTTGGGATTCTGACACCTGCAGCAGTCGCAGGCAAGGATGGTGGTCGAACAAGTTAACGACCGCCTGAAGACCAAGTGGCGCCTTCTGGACGGCCGCCTCGAGTGCGATATCTTCCGTGCACTGCGCTACGTGGCGGCCTGCGTGACCCTGCATAACATTGACCTTGTCATCGAGGCGCGCCTGCGACTAGAGGAGCCACGCGCGCGCAATCGGTGGTGGGAGCAGGGCCCGGCGGCAAACGCGCCGAACTACTCGCCAAACTTCGAGGGCTTTACGCTGACCCGCCGTCGTCAGCGTCTGGCAGGTTACCTTTACGCCTCTTGGCGTCTGGGGCATCTGGAGCAGACTGCACCAGCTCTCGAGTGAGTTGCATGAATTGCTCGAAGTTATCGCGGAAGAGTCCGCCCATAGTCCGCGTAGCGATTTCGTTGCAGAGTGCCGCATCCGCACCGGTTAGCTGACCTTCCTGTGATTCTGTTCCCCCGCCTTCCATGCCGTGTATTTTTGTGCCCGCAGCCGAAGGCTGAGGCCAGCGAACGACGCGGTGCCCGCGCAGCGACAGACCCGCACGTGCACCGGCTCCCCGTGAGAACGGCGGAGATGCCTCCGCCAAGTTGGTTGACACGGGGCGCGCAGGGGAAGTTGCGGGTGGTGCCGGCGGTGAACTGGGCAGCGTGGTGCGAGAAGGGGATGGCGCCGCCACCGTAGCCAGAGGCGGAGTGCGTGACCCCACACCCTCGGTCGTTGGACCTTGATCTGCAACGGCAGATCACAAGTGATAGGGGTGGGGCTAGATAACGAGTTAGAGCAACGGAGTGGTGTGTACGTTGTATTCATGCAGCCGTTATCAATGCAATATTGTTGCTCTAATGAGTGCACACCGAACCTTGAAAACACACATACCTGCTATGCCGGGCGTAGTGGGCGGAGCGCCAACGTCGTTGGCGCCGGGAAGACTACCTGCAAGAGCCGGGGGGCGAGCATTGACACGGTCACCGAAAATACGATCGTAAATTTCATAATAGATGGGAATTTTGGGCGGGCGACCCTTCCTCGATGGCTCCAGCAGGAGGTCCCGCACTTTGCGGTAGTGGGCCTCCATGCGGAACAATTTTGCCTTCACCGCCGCGAACTTATGACGGAACTGCGGGTGGCGACTTTTCAGCTCCTCCCAAACCGTGACGTCACGGTTTTGCCCCTGCAGGCGAGTTTGACTGCGGAAGTCATCGTCCTTATCGTTGCGTACCCACACCAGTTGCATAGTTTCCGCGTCTTCCTAGCCGCGCTTCTCCCCCGTCATGGCAGGTTCACCTTCCTCTTCAGCGTGCTCGTCTAAGTCCGTCTCAATCTCGCCGGCGTCGAAATACGCGAGCGTGTCGTCGTCGGCGTTGATAGGAGTGTTTAGATCGGGCGCTTGGAGAACGATGGTGTCAAGGTCTATAACCTCCAGGCGGCGGTTAGTGGCAGGATGGGTAGTGGGCCTAGCACGGCGCGGTGCAGGCCTAGCAGCGGTGGCAGTTGCTGAGCCAGGATCGCCGTTGCTCACGTTGGGCGCGGGATTCATGGTTGCTACGGTTGTGCTTGAGGAGAATGAAGTTTGGAAGCTGACAATGTGGTTTTTTTGTGCGACTTTTGATACCGCCAGGATGTGTCAAACATACTAGGAGTACGGCCTAGGCTTAGTAGCCTAGGCCACAGTAGGACTACGAAAGGAGGCGCCAAGTACGAGCTAGGATTGTGTGCAGGAACAGAATTGAGAAGGAATGATTGAACTAGCAAGCAGCAGGATACAAATAGCAAACCCTAAGGGGCTGTACTCACTATTGAGTACCCCACTGCAGGCTACACAAACAACATATTCTGACACACCCCCATAGCCAAAGTGGGGTGAAATCAGCACAATGAGCAGGCATAGCAGTAGTTCACAATTATAAGTAAAGCTAGAGGCTATCATAGAGGGCAAGTGAGGAGGAGGTGGGACTGGAAGAGGAGAGGAGATAGGAGGCGACGGCTGAAGCTGCAGACACACGGGCAACAGGAGCGGCTGGCACAGTGGCTACCGGGACAGCGCCCCGGACTACTGGAGTAACTGGCTCGGCGGCTACGAAGAGCGGCAGGAGCAACGGACCCACGGGCGACAGGCGCAGCAGGCTCTCTGGGCTACCAGGACAGCGCCCTGGACTACAGGTGCTGCGGACGACAAGACGGCTACCTCTGCTCAACCTCCCCTGACCGTCCCACACCCCTTTCACACACCCCCTGCTGAAACCCTAGCTCCACTCCCACGGCACCCCCCATAAACCCTAAACCCTCGGCTCCCACACACCCACCCCCCTCAGCGGCAGCTGCAGCAGTGGGAGACGGAGGAGGAGGAGGAGCTTCAGGTTACCCACACCGGTCACCCCCATGCTCGCCACCCCACACCCCCACCACCGCGGAACGCACGGCGGAATGGGAGCAATGGGCAGCACGGGGGGGGGGGGGGGGGGGGGCAGGACGGGCTGCAGGGACGGGCCGCGGGCTGCTGCAGGGGCGGCTCGCGCGGATCCTGGGGCGGCTGCTGCAGGCACGGGCTGCTCCAGGGGCGGCTGCTGCAAATGCGGGCTGCTCCAGGGGCGGCTGCTGTTGGTGCAACCCTACGGTTTGCACTCGGCTTGTTGTCCGTGTGCGTGAATGTGTGTGTGTATGGAATGGTATGAGGGCATGGGATAATATATATTTCATGCTTATAATTGTGTGTGAATGTTGAGTCATGATGTCGAGTGTGTGTGTCGAGTCAATAGCGAGTTATCGCTAGACGCGTGTTACGCGGTCGTTTGTGTCTCGCGCGCGGTTTCTATTTTGGTGTGCGCGGTTTCTATTTTGTCCTGTGTCGAACGTTCGGCGTGTCGCAGGTGTGTGCAGCAGACCCATCAAGAACTCAAGGATGAGTTTGTGATGAAGAGCCCGAGCCTTGGTGTCAAGCCTCAAGTGATTTCGAAGCTTGCCAAAAGGGTACACCTCAAGATATTGAAGATAGTTACATTACATTGTGTAATGTAACATTTCACTTGGTGTAGGCCCTAGTGAAGGGTAGTTTCGAGACCCTTCGTGGTTGGGGACAGTGTGGCACTGTTCCACATCACTGTACCTCGGCTCTTGGGGTTTGTAGGAGCTGGGAGTCATTCCCAACTCGTAACTCTTCCTATCTTGTGTTCTAAGACTATAGTGGCTGCCATAGTACCGTTCGTTCAAACCGACGCTGTGTCGTCAATTCTTTATGAAATCGTGCAATCTAAATTGCTTATTGTAGGCGACGTGAAGACGCTCCAGATCCAATTTGAATCAAGTCATTTGCAGCTGTGAGCAGAACGCTATCAACGTTTGAAGCCGCTGTGCAGAAATCCGTCTGTGCACTCTATCTTTCGTTTTAGGCACATTCAAGGCTATTGTGACTATAACAAGTGGTATCAGAGCCCCTTGGAGCAGTTTCGACAATGTCTGGACCTGAGGAAAGGGGTGGCAGAGGTGCTGGTGGCAGTGGAGAAGCTCAAGCTCAAGGCCAACCCCGTGATTCAGCCATGGCGCCCATGCAACCAAGTCTTGGCCCACCTAGGGATGAGCCTAGGGTGTTTGGGCTTGACAAGTTCAACGGTGACAACTTTGCTGAATGGTCCTTCAAGATGGAGAACATCTTTGACCACTATGACCTGCTGGAGGTGATGGAAGGAACGGAAAAGCGCCCCGAGAACGACCCGGAGAAGAGCCCGTGGGTGCGGAAGAGCGCACAAGGCTATCTCTTACTTGGGCAAGCGTTGGGGAGCAGTCAGATCCGTCACATCAAGCCATTCCAGCGTGAACCAGAGAAAGGACCAAAGGCATGGGCTGCTCTCAAGGGTGTACATGCTCCTGCAACAGCGGCGGTAGCGGTGGTGTTGGAACGGCAAATGGCGGCACTACGAATTGAAGAAGACGAAGCGGTTGAAGAAGGGGTGCAGAAATTCTTCGACTTGTTGACGCGGCTTGAGGGAGCTGATTTGAACTACAGTGAGCTCCAAAAGAAGACCAAGTTGCTGGCCTTACTCCCAGAGTCATGGTCCTCGCTCATCATCAACCTTAATCGCGACTTGCCCCGCCTCTCGCTTGAAGACGTGAAGCGAGCTATCCTTCAAGAGGATTTCCGCCGCCGTAAGTTGGCGAGTGCGGATGGCGCTGGGGCAGCGAGCATCGGCCGTGGATATGGTCGAGGAAGAGGCAGAGGACGAGGGGGAGGAAGGTTTGGTGGCAGCAACTTCGGCGGAGGCCGCAGGAGTGGCGGTTACAGCAGCGACGACAAGAGCTACGGACGCGGTCGCGGCCGATTCGACGGCGAGTGTCACTATTGCCACAAGAGCGGACACATGTGGCGCGACTGCTACAAACTCCCTGATGGTTGGACCCCTGCTCAAGGCCAAGAGGGTAGAGGAGCAGGAGGAGGGAGAGGACGAGGCCGTGGAGGCCGTGGCGGTCGCGGTGGCGGAGCTGCAAACATGAAGAGCGGAGACAACGACAAGGACCCGAGCGACGATCGATACCCGGGTCTATTCTACTTCGTGTCGACGCAAGTACCGGCTGGTCCAGAGAAGGATGAAGGCTTTGAGGAGCCAGCAGCTGTGGGGAAGGTGACCCTACACCCCCTGGACTATTGGGTGATTGATAGTGGCGCTACCTATAGCATGACACCTCGCCCGGACTTGCTCACCGAACTCGAGCCGTCACCGGTGAAGCATGTCACATCGGCTTTGGGGCAGCGAGCAGAGGTGAAAGGCATGGTCAAGGCCATGTTCAAGGGTGCTGATGGGAAGATGGTGGGCCTCAAGAACGTGCTTTGGGTGCCCAGCCTTGCTGCAAACCTGATTTCCGTGCGGCGGTTGGCAAAGGCCGGCATGGACACGAACTCGAAGGGAGCCAAGACCTACACCGCAAGGCTTGGCGATCGAATTCTTTGGGACCTTCATGAGGACAGGGATGTATACAACGAGATGTGGCAGATCCCAGTGGTCCCTATGCCTAAGGAGAGGCAAGTGGCAGCAAGCATCAGCACCAAGGATGGAGCGGTCGGTAGCGACGATGGCGCGAACGGTCGCGCTAAGGAGAATGAGCTCAAGAAGAGCAAACCTGGAGGGACCAGCAAGTTCAGTGAACCTAAGGAGAGTGGTGCAGCAACCAAGGAGCAGCAAAAGGGTGAGGAGAACCCAGAGGCAGCAGCGGAGGAGGACTACGGAGAGAGTATGTGGGGCGCTATTGCGAGCGCGGCATTCTCCAATCCAACTTCGGCTACGGGGGAGTGTGATTGGCTCACCTTGCATCGGCGCATGGGGCATGTGGCCCTGCCCATCTTGCAACAGCTAGTGAAGAATGAGATGGTTGCTGGCATACGTGTGAAGGGGGAGCCCGATGAGGTGCTTGGCTGCCCGACGTGCATTCAAGCCAAGTTCACCCGGTTTCCGTTCCCTAGTTCGGAGGCAACGGCAAAGGCACCGCTTGATGAGGTGGTGATGGACGTGGTGGGCCCCCTGAAGCTTGGAGCTGCTGGAGCTGAGTATTTTCTCACCATTGTCGACGTCTACACCCGTATGACTTGGGTGTACGTGCTGGCCAAGAAGAGCGACGTGGCTGAAACGTTGAAGACGGATTGGTTCCCGATGGTGGAGCGGCAACAAGACCGTCTAGTCAAGTCAATCCGCACTGATCGAGGGGGAGAGTTCCTGAGCAAGGAGTTTGGGTTGTGGCTGAAGAAGAATGGTATTCGGCACTCCCTCACCATGCCATACTCCCCTGCAATGAACGGCATCGCCGAGCGAGCGAACCGCACAATCACGGAGGCGGCACGCGGGTTGCTCATTGAAGCCGGGCTACTCGACTATTTCTGGCCTGATGCGGTGCGGAGCGCGTGTGTGGCCAAGAACAGAGCTTTGACTCATGTGGGAGCAGACAAATGGGTGCCCTATGTGGAGTGGCTAGGAAGGAAGCCAAAGGTGGATATGCTTCGGGTGTTCGGGTGCATGTGCATGGCGCTCGTGCCTAAGCATCTTCGGCACAACAAGCTTGGTGCCAAGGCGGTGTGGGCCGTGCACTTGGGCATGGCTCAAAACAGCAAGGGATGGCTTCTTTGGGACCCATTCACCAAGAAGTTCTTGGTGAGCAGGGACTGCAAGTTCATGGAGAACTTCATGTACAAGGATTGGAAGGCGGAGAATGAGGCGAAGATAGGCGTGCGGTTTGGGGAGGTGAAGAGTTCCGGTTTGGAGCATGTGGAGCTGCCTTTGGAGCTGAGCAGCGGCAGCACAACCACAAGGCAATCCTCCCTTGTGAATGGGGGAGAGGAGGCCAATGATGCAGAGGAAGAAGAGGAGGAGGTGCAGCAAGTGAGCGAGCGTGCACCGTCACTCCCTTCCCGTACTACGAGTGCTCCACGGATTCGAGCCACACCGCAGCAACGCCAAGGCCTTCAAGTCCCTGCAGCTGAGGAGGAAGGAAGGGGGAAGAGGAGAGTTCAACCCCCTAATAGGCTGACCTATGATGCGCCGGGAAAGCAGGGCAAGA